GACCCATTGTTATAAACAAAGTAGCTTTTACATACGTTAAAAACAATACTTAAATGTAAAAACCACATACGTTAATAAACGGTGATGTGAGACCCATTGTTATAAACAAAGTAGCTTTTACATACGTTAAAAACAATATTTACATGTAAAAATCACATACGTTAGTAAACGGTGATGTGAGACCCATTGTTATAAACAAAGTAGCTTTTACATACGTTAAAAACAATATTTACATGTAAAAACCACATACGTTAGTAAAGGGTGATGTGAGACCCATTGTTATAAACAAAGTAGCTTTTACATACGTTAAAAACAATATTTACATGTAAAAACCACATACGTTAGTAAAGGGTGATGTGAGACCCATTGTTATAAACAAAGTAGCTTTTACATACGTTAAAAACAATATTTACATGTAAAAACCACATACGTTAGTAAAGGGTGATGTGAATCTAACACCGTTTTGCTTGATAGAAATGTAACAAGTTTGCCTATGAGTTGAATACACCTTCTAACACCGTTTTGCTTGATAGAAATGTAACAAGTTTGCCTATGAGTTGAATACACCTTCTAACACCGTTTTGCTTGATAGAAATGTAACAAGTTTGCCTATAATGTTTTCTACGAGCTCTTTGTATTATATACCGTTCATTACAGGCGATATCACTAAGTGTGGCATGACTGAAACTAGGATTACTGTTCCATAACCCGAAACTCCACAGTCTGAAACATATCAGATGTCTTATTTTGTTTTGTTTTAAAATTTGCGCATGTTCTCTGTAAGCAAACAAAACAAATTGTAAAAAATCTGAAATGAGTTATTACTTTTTGTACCAATAATTGTTATGAGGTTGTGTATTATTTTTTGTACCAATAATTGTTATGGGGTTGTGTATTACTTTTTGTACCAATAATTGTTATGAAGTTGTGTATTACATTTTGTACCAATAATTGTTATGAGGTTTTGTATTACTTTTTGTACCAATAATTGTTATGGGGTTGTGTATTATTTTTTGTACCAATAATTGTTATGGGGTTGTGTATTATTTTTTGTACCAATAATTGTTATGGGGTTGTGTATTACTTTTTGTACCAATAACTGTTATGAGGTTCTGTATTACTTTTTGTACCAATAATTGTTATGGGGTTGTGTATTACTTTTTGTACCAATAATTGTTATGGGATTGTGTATTACTTTTTGTACCAATAATTGTTATGGGGTTGTGTATTACTTTTGAAAAACAATATCGGTAGATATTTTGTATTCTATTTTACATAACATTTCAAAAGAATCTTTTTTAGCTGTTCAGGATCTCGCAGTAAAATTTATTCGAAGTAATAAACAAAACTTATGTGTAATGATGAAAGCGTGAAACTTATCACTTTACCACACGACTTACTATTTTATGTTACGTGATTGGAAATATATAAAATCAACAAAGAGTTTCCTATGCAGTCGGAACGGCTCATCTCTACAATTACTAGTTGAAGATTTTGGTTAACTGTGAATAATAGTTTCTTCTCACAACTGCATCTTACTCTAACACCAAGCAACACAATTTGCCACAAACCGTGATGATGGTAAAGTCTGACATTTGACCCATGTATATACATCAACATGAAATACCCGAATGCAAATAATTAATCACTACTACTGCATTTCCTTAAGGAAAATCTAAAGAGAGTAAAAATAATTTAACTGATCGGATAATATCTTTCACATTTTTCGAATACAAATATTATTTAATAGATACGGTTTGATCATTAAACACACTATAAGTTTAGTTTGGTTTGAATTTCGCGCAAAGCTATTCGAGGACTGTCTGCGTTAGCCGTCCTTAATTTAGCAGTGATAAACTGAAGGGAAGGCACCTAGCCGCCATCTTTTCGGATTAACCGTCACAATTATCATGTCCTCACGGCTGAAAGGGCGAGCATGTTCGGTGACGGGGATAGTACATTATCAGATTATTTCATTAGTCTTAATAAAGAAATCTTGCTTAACTTATTATTTCTTAACTGTATTAATTAATTAATTGTGTTTACTAACTGTGTGGTAAATAATTATATCATGCGTATTA